TGAAAATTACAAATTGTTTAACGTGTTGCTTGTTTTAGGCTTTTTAAGCTTATGTTTTCACCAGCTGTTAATTTCAGGTGATGGAGAACTTGGAGACCTTGAAAAATTTAGAAGAGTTGTGGCTAGGAAGAAATCGCATTAGAGATGTGAATTTGTGTGGGTTGAAATGCATAAGAAAAATAAGTTTGCAGAGCAATCGACTGACATCCATGTTAGGATTTCAGGTATTTATCTAAACTCCATGTTGCTCCTTTTAACCATGTATTGCATTATGAAATTGATCCCATGGTTGTTGTGCTTCTGAGGAATGTCTTGGACTAGAAGAATTATATTTAAGCCATAATGGTATTGCTAAGATGGAAGGCTTATCTACTCTTGAAAATCTTCGTGTCCTTGATGTCTCTTCGAACAAACTAACTGGAATTAATGACATTGAGAAGCTGACAAGGTCCTATTTTTTTGTTTACCTTTTCAAAATATGTTGATGTCTATTGTTCAGATGTGTTCACACTTATATTATGCAGGTTGGAAGACTTGTGGCTTAATGATAACCAAATAACATCCTTGGAAGGCATTGATGTTGCTGTAGCTGGTTCAAAAGAGAAGCTTACGACCATATATCTTGAACACAACCCATGTGTATGTTACTCCAAAGTTCCAGATTCTCTTTTCTATTTTGGTCTGATGAAATATGTTGTTTTGGTGAAATATAATGGTTATTATGATTTGTTTGGGTTTCATCATTATAACGTTAAGCATGAGTATTGAGCATCCATCTCAGACAGAAATGGCTAAATAAGCTTGGTTCTCTATCTGCTAGGAGACAGATGGCGTGGATTGGTCATGCCAGTCCTTTCCTGGACATGCTCTTGGGGGCTGATTAGGAGGAGATTAATTAAAAAAAAATGTTTCATAATTAAAGAGGGCAGATTTGGGGATGATTTTTTTTTTTTGGGGGGGGGGGATTAATTATGAACTGTTTCCTAATTGAAGTGAGCAGATTTATGGGCTAATTTGGGAGAAAAATAATTAAGGAAATAGTTTAGATTTGAGAGGGAATTTGGGGAGGGCTGTTTGGGTATTTGTTGTTTATTGTATGCTTTAAGTAGGATGTTTTTCCTAGGGTTAGGTTTATGTGTCTTTTGTTGAATTTAGATTGTTCTTAGTCTAGTCGACGTCTAGGTAATTGGGAGAGCTATATCTTCCTCTCCAACTGAACTAGGGAATTGGGAGAGCTGTATCTTCCTCTCCAACTGAAGATCCATTGTATCTTGTTTGTTTTTCTTCACATATCTTGCAATAAAAAGAGTTTTTCCTATATTTCTCCGGAATTTCATATTACCGTTCGCTGATTTTACTGAAATCGCATCTACTTCCTATCAAATTGGTATCAAACAGTGTCCTAGGCTGAAATTGAGGCATTGCCTTGCAGATTTATGCTTCGATTTCTCCTCCTAAGTGTTGATTCACTAGATCTGTTGTTTTTTGGCCATTTTCGCAGTTTGGAACCTAGATCCTGGTACCCATGGCAGTGAGAAAGGTAGAAGTGTTGGAGGGACATGTCAGACATTTGAAATATGAAATTTCGGATTTCTAAACACAAATTTCAGATTTTAAAAATCCAATTTTAGTTGTCCATGAGAAGATCGATGGGAAATTTTTCATCCTGGAGGAGATGTTGAAGAAGTTGCTCGAAGGCCAAAACAAAATGGCATCATCGGAGGAGAGGGAAGCCGCCGCCAGCCAAGGAAGTGAGGAAAACCTTAATCCAATACGATGAGGGGAAGATCAGAAGGTAGAGATTTTTGAGGGAGAAGAGAGAATGCCTCTCCTAGAGCCTATTCATAGGGATGAGTCTAGTAAAAGGTATGGGGAGAGGCGTGAGGGGGTCAGGCATGAACAAAGGGGTGCTGAATTTAAGAGGAGAGGGGAGGAACTTGAAAGGAGAGAGAATGATTATGATCAAAGGGATGCTGAATTTAAAAGAAGAAGGGATGATTATGATCCAATGGGTGCTTAATTTGAAAGAAGAAGGTGAGATTTTGACGAAAGGTTTGGGTACGAGCATAAAAGAGATGATTATGACACTTGGGGGGAACCACCCCTTGGGAATGAAAAATTATGGAGGAAATAGGGGGAACAAAGGATATCCGAGAGTGAGGAAGCTGAAGATGCTTATTTTTTAAGGGACAGGATGCACATAAGTGGATATACAGGGTGAAAATGTATTTTACCATAAGTAGGTTGACGGAGGAGGAGAGATTGACGGCGGTTGGGATGTGCTTTGAGGGGAATGCGTTGGCATGCTACTAGTAGAGGGATAATAGGTGACACATATGGACTTAAAGAGAGTTTAAGGACTGCTTGTTGGACTTTTCTGAACCAACAAGGTAGGGGATTTCTATGATAAGTTCTTCGCTATAACGTAGGAGGGGATAGTGGTGGAGTACTGTGAGCAATTTGAGCAACTGGTCACTAATTGGACCTGCTTCTGGAGATTGTACTGGAGGGGAACTTTATGAAAGGGCTCAAAGTAGAGATTTTGGCTGTAGTTAGAGTGGTGAGGCCTTGTGATTTAGGAGAGGCTATGGAGCTAACCCAATTAGTGGAGGATCAGAGGCACCTGTAGAGAGGGGTTGGAGGCTGCAGCTTAGGAGGTTCGTAAAGGATGACCACAACCTTTTTAGCATCTAAGGAGTCGACATTAGGTACTCTTAGGGAGCTCCATAGGAGAAGACTGTTGGAGGAAGATTTGGAAAAAAACTTTAAGAAACTCACAAAAAATGGAGCTACATGAGAAGAGGGCAAAGGGGTTGTGTTTCAGATGTGAGGAGAGGTATACACCAGGGCGCAGGTGTAAGGACCGAACTCTTCATATTCTCACCATTTGTGATGATGAGAAACGACACCAGTTTTGCCGGTCCTTTCCTGTATTGGCTCTTGGGGGTTGATTTGGAAAGGGTTAATTAAAAAATATTTCATAATTGAAGAGGGCAGATTTGGGGTCTGATTTGGAGTGGATTAACCAGGAAATATTTCCTAATTGAATAGGGCTTATTTGGGGGTTGATTTGAAGCTGATTTGGGAGGTAAATAATTAAGAAAATAGGGCATATTTGAGAGAGAATTGGGGGATGGCTGTTTGGATATTTGTTGTTTATTGTATGCTTTAAGTAGAGTGTTTTTCCTAGGGTTAGAATTATGTGTGGTTTACTGAATTTAGATTGTTCTTAGGTTGATTGGGCTACTGGCCCTTTGGTTTTCTTGCTGGCTTGGTTTTCCTACTTGATCGAATTCCCTATTGTCTCGATCTCCTTGCTGCTGGCTGCTCGTATTTTTCTCCTTGTTGATTCCTATAAATGATGTTTTGACTTCCCTTCATGGTGGTTGTTTTGGGTGTATTTTAGTGGCTGTTTTGGTGAAAATTTTAATTGAGCAATTTATTGCCATTTTCCCCTTCTTCTCCTATATAATGTGGTTGATTTTGTTTGTGAAAAAAAGAGATGTGATGAATTTTTGGAATGAGAAACATGCAGTTTTTAGCTTGTGAGTTATCCTCATCTACCTTCCCTCTACTAATTCGTCTTGGGCTTATATCTACTTTTTCTCTCAACGATTTTCTTTTTACATGTATCCTTCTTCTCAAAATTTTTATAAGTTGTAAGGTGTTGTTGTGTCTTGTTTTTTTTAAAGTTGTTAGTGTTATTGTGTCTTGTCTTATTGAAAGTTGTAAGTGTTGTTGTGTCATGTTTATTGGAAGTTATAAGTGGTGTTGTGTCATGTTTTATTGTTGTGTTTGTTTATCTTATATTGAAAGGAAGTGTCTTAGTTTGCATACCTAGTTTTCTCCTACTAGGCTTAGGAATCCTAGGTCGCATCATCGGACTACCTTCGCCCGGTTACGTTCCTTGGACCACCTATCCCTCTGACTATAGTCCTCGGACCACCGTTTCCCCCCGAGTTTGATCTTCAGACCACCGTCGTCGTCCGCCGATTATGATCCTCCGAACTCCATTGCCTGTTGACTATGGTCCTTTGACCGTCATTGTCGTCGACTGCGGTCCTTCAACTATTCTTGTTTGACTTTGATACTTTGACCACGATTGCTCGACCATAGTTTTCTGAACACCATCACCTAATTACAATTCTCGAACCACTGCGGTCCTCCGAACACTGTAAAAATGAAAGGCTTTACACATTCCCCCTTATTTATGACTATTTAAGTATGCACTAAACAATGAAGAATACATGCCCCTTTTTTTTGCCATCCTATCTTCAATATGAGACATGCAAAACCTAAGACCTTTTGAGATCCGCTTTGATGATAGACCAATGAAGTTTAAATGAAGAGTTAGGAATTTCTTTCACTGATGTAGATGGTGATGAAGGCAAAGACCTATAAGGCTTTTGATCAATCACGTAGGCGATGGAGAAGTATTAGAGGCGGGAGATTCATCCTCCTATGTAAGTGCCATGATGGGGACTAGTGGAGTGATTATCTTGCTTGAAGAAATAATAGTCTTACTGCAACATGGGCTGAGGCTGGGATAAGGCTGCAAGATGTGGCATCTGAAACATCCAATTGTTTTGGAGGAGGTACTTGAATGGCCTAATCCATATTTTTCTTGTGAATGAGGAAGTGTTGTGGGAAATTAAGATGGTGTGAGCCAATCCTATATACAGTGGAGCTGGATCTATTGTTGGCAATTAGGTTGGCAAAGATCTATAAAGCAAAACAGGCAGAGGTGCCAAAGGATTGATCAACAAATGTGCCAATTAGGGACCAGGCTGGCTTCTATAAAGAAAATATGGAAAATGTGTCTACAAAAAATAAAATAAAAGATCAGGTGTAAGTTCAGTTGATTGAAGGCGATGGTGCAAGGCCTATCAAAGGAGATTGGGGCACAACCCATTGCCAATATTTCTATGGGGCAAGTATGATAGGAGGGCTAGTGAGGAGACATGAGAAAACACCTTTCATGATGAGTGAGTGGTTAAATTGGATGACAAAGAGGTGGTGTCTTTAGTCCTAGGTGTCTAGGTTGATAGGATTGATGCAACACCCTCTTACTAAAGAAGGTAAGATCCATAGTACGATTACAAGGATGAGGTGATGAAGATAGAAGCACTTTGCAGTGTCGTAAGAATATCGCTAGAAAGTCCTACATGACTAAACAATGCTGGAGAACTGGGATGAAACAATCTCCTTGACGAATGAGGAGCTGCAATAGGTTGTATAGTGGTAATAAGAGATCTCAGTTGGTTCAACCTTCTTGAGTATTAAGGTTTCGTTTGGGATAGCTTTCTTATTGCTTCTTAAAGATAGCTTTCTAGTAAAAAATTTTTGTACTAGAAGCTTTTTTAAGAAGCAGAAATAAAGCTGTCTCAAACGAAGCCTAAGTCATTAGCCTGAAAGCTCCTTGACTTGAAATGCATGTGGAGATTGAGCGTGGTTTGGATGTTGTGTTTGTTTTGGCTGCCCCAAGTGCTTGGTGATGAGTTAGTAGTTGCCTGAATCTAGATGGATTTGTTGTAGACTTCAACTATAATGATGGACTTGATCCCAAGGGCAAGCACAAAGTGCTTCTCTCTAGTGATTGTGTTTGACATCATTTTGTATGCTGAAATAATAAGTGATAG